CTTGTTAGTGACTTCATGCATTTCTGCCATGTTTTGGTCTGGCCGCCCCTAGCTTTCTTCCAACCTACTCCTACACTACAAAACATAGCTCGACGAGGCAGTAGGTGGTTAGGCATACGTAACACATGTTCCAACCACCTCAACTGATCAAGTTCAGTTGATGCTACTGAAGTCCACGGCTTCTCCCTAACCTCATCGTTTACCTTACTAAAAGATATCACTGTTGTTTCTATAAAAATTATCTTTTATGTCGTCCGAATTGCAGTCAGTGGGACGTAGGTAGATAAGACGAAGAGGCAACGGCGAGTTTTCCTATCCTTTCGAGGCCGCACCATCCCGTTTAGTCGGACAGCGCATAAGCGACTGTCTATCGGGATCCAGTCTAAGAGAGCTAGCTCTGCTCTAGGACTTAATACCATACCTACGCCAGCTAGGCCACGAGAAGTGGCATCAGGGCTTCCAGAAACACGAAGCGTAAACCTTGTTGTGTCTCTATCTGCACTAGGTGTAATCAAGTTGATGATTTTTGAGCGTTTAGGAGACGCAACATACATTGATCGCCCGGTATTCCATAGTTCTAGCTAATGAAGCCGGTTACCCTATTTTGCATAGGGTCTGAAGATTAAAAGCTCCAATATGTAGTTTAGTACGGGGTTTCAAGAGACCAGGAATAAAGTTTCGAGAGCTAGTACCCTACCGTTTGCTTGAGCAGCGTGAGGTGATAAACGACCGAAAGAAGGGTTGGTCGAGCGGATAAGAGAGTTATTAAGAGGTGTAGAAAGGATTTGGTTGTGACCAATCCGGTCTCGTGGGCTTTTATGGGTATGGGGGCGGATGTTACTTCCCTGCTGCCCACACCGTGGACGTATCTTCAATCTTATACACACATGCTCAGGGACGCATAATGAACAACACAATGACTGTAAATATTAGAATAACTCATCTGTCTAGCACTGATGATTCACGTTGTAGATGTGAAAAAATGCTAGTAGTGTAGTGGAACGCTTCTACGAAGAAAATACGATTTGTGAAAAATAAATGTTATTGTACTCGTTTTGTTTAACTGTACCAAAAACACTTCTTGCGCGCAACGTTCTCTTCGCGTTGCTGCCATTTTTCTGAATGCGCTGCTCCCCATTTATATGTAATGCCTACTCCCTCCTTCAATAAAACATTGGAACATGGATTTATTTTGATTTAAATGACGGGATGGTATGGAACATTTAGTGGTGATCATAGTCGATCTGGTATCCCTCACCACTAAAGTAGCCTCAGCTTCAAATTAATCTATCTATTCTGTTATAATCTGGTATTCTTTCGTCGGACGATAGATATACACCTAACAAGTAAATTTAGTCTCAATTTTATACTTGACTGTGCTTAATAATCATAAATGACTTCACATATCTCTTTACGCTCTCAAAAACTACCGAGAAAAATTAACTGATAATTTTCAGTATTTTGAGGTGATTCCATTCGATATAATAATAAATGCCAATTTCTGTGGATGTTTCACCGTAATAATCATTACATTACATATGTCGATCGATTTTACCTACATGTCAATGTCAACTAACTGAAATCAAAGTTATGACGTCAACATTTTGTGGGATTACTTTGAACGATGTTATATATATATAAATATATATATATATATTTATATATATATATATATATATATATATATATATATATATAAATATATATGTATATATATATGTGCAGTAAACAAGAACCAGGCATCAGTATCATCACCAAAGCTACACTCGGTAATTTCAAAGTAATTGATTAGAATGTTAATAATAACGATATATCCGCGATAACCAACTGAGTAGAAGTTAGATTTCCCGATGTTTCGAGAATTAGTATAAGCCATTTTTTAGAGTAAATAAATAACTGAACTAAAACCAACGCAGGGGTTAATACTATCATAAGGCTAGATGGAATAAGTGATTTATCAGAGGGAGACACAGTTTACTAGCAAAACGTGGACATCATACAAAACAAGCAGATTCTTGGCTGTCTTCTATCGCATGTTTTCTAGTTTTCAAAACATTTTGATCGCGTCGTACATCGGAATCTAAAACTCTTCTCTTCAGAAATAATTTTTGGGTGACACTGCGGCATACTACTTGTATGTCACGTTGCTAGTTGTGCACACAACACTATCACTACGTATAACTAGGTTAATGGTGAAAGTGCTTGTCCAGAACCTAATTCCAAGTACTTCAAGGCGAAAGTTAGAATGATTTTAGCATGAATGCCATGTCTACTATGGTAGTTGGTGAACAACAATAGATTCATATGCAGTTTGTTCTGTCAAAATCTCATGAGCACCATGGTTTGGAATCAAGGTGTTCCAACTCCACTAGGTGGATCCTAAATCAACACAGTTAAGGTGCCAGCCGTTTGCTCTTCGTCCTGTCAAGTTTGTAATCAGCGACTACGATGCGAAGCACTGAGTAGGAATTCCCTCAAAGTAGATAAATAGGCGTAGCCATGTGGGAACATCTCAAGAGGAAGAGGGAACTCTCCCCACTTTCGACCGTACCCAGGGCATTTCATGCAGGTAATCTTGACGTTTCTTAATCGACCGGTGATATCTACCTAAACAGACAAAAAAATTACTTAGTTCGCCTCCGCGGTGCACATTGTCAGCTGTTCCTGTGGAGATAGCGATATTGGGCGTACTAACAGACAACTTAACTAATAGCATAGTTTGAAGTCACACGAAGGACCATGCATATTCCCATCTTAGCAAACCTGGTTGACATCAGTTGCATGGTGCACCTCCTTCTGTCCATATTCTCATTATTAATTATCTATACAACATTTAATAGATGATTTCTGTAGTTTATTGCGATCATTATTTGAATATCTATTTTTTCCGAGTTTGACCTACTTCCTACACGTTCACAAACCCATATAAACATTTCTGTACATAAGAATAAATCCTAATGACAATCTAATTGAAAAAAACATTGTTCTCTAGCGTCAATGCCATGAATTATTTGTGAGCTAGCCGCAGAAAGGATCAACCGAAATCATGTGTCGAGATGTAGCGTTTATAAATCATAAAACTATTATCCTTAAGAATCAGTATTTTCGAGAAAACAAATGATTTATAACTATTCAAAATTAGTTGTAATTGAAAACAACATACTTCACCTATCACATTTTAAAGTGTTAGGATAGTTTACATATTTGAAACTAAATACTTTATGTCCTTGTAACAAAAAGTGTAACTAATATGCTTTAATGAAGCCAGATTACTTATATTTTTATGTGGAAGATGATCATTTGAGGAATAAATGTAAGGATATGCTTATAATTACGATATCTTTCTTACGCAAATAATCTTCAAATCTGTAACACTAAAACTACTTTGTATAACGCTTTGTTTCAGTGGTCACACAAGCGCCGTCTAGGTCAACCGAACAAGAAAGTCAACGATCTGATCAGAAGTTTGTTCAATAACAACAAAGTTCACTTCTCAATAAGGTGGGAGTCAATCATGTTATCCAGAACGACAATGAAATCTCGTTAATTAAATCAGTTCAAACGGTTTATTTACAATTCTGCAGATAGACTATATAGTACAGTCAATTGTTAGTCGAAATCTTCACCATCAGTGTCTTTGATAGTTATCTCACCAGAAAAAGACAACTATAAAGGAAGAATTAAATACATGTACAAATAGTCAAACACTATGGCCAGTAGTGCAGAAAGTATTCATTTCACATTTGATCTTCTATTTTCTATTTTGAAGTACTTAAAGTAGATGAAGTAATCTTTGGCATGACTGTGTACTTATTCTTTAAAATTCTGTCAGCAGATACAATTTATTAGTCTGTGAATAAGGAAAAATAAAAAATAAAAAGACAAAAGTTATGACAAAAAAAGGCTTTATCCACTTCATTTTTACATAGACATATTATGTACACATTATTTTTAGTGAATACGATGGAAAATTTTCATTTAAGATTTAGTCTTCACTGAAGCTCTTCAAATTATAAAACTTAATAAGGTTTGTCATTTAGTTGAAATATTGGAAAGAAAAAGAACATATCCGAAGCCGTTCCTTCACTTTAACAATAAACAAGCCAAACCACAGTATCAAGTAATTTAGCGTTGTGACTGACCACAATCTAACTGTGGCCAATATAATTCGAGCAGCACATAGTAATAGATGACATAATATTGGCCACTGTTCAATGGCCAATGGTTATGTTGATTATATCGCAACGATTTCACCATATAACATAGAGATCTGATGATGTAAATCAGGCAGATTTACATATCCCTCCAATCAGTCAGCCAATCTTATAGTCTAAATAATCAATCAAAAAATCAATGAATCTGCTCAATAAACACATGTACTAAGAGCCATATTTTACTCTTGCTTTTAAGTTTAGCGCAGCTTTGTTGGTGTTATCAAAGTAAACTAACTAAATATTGGGTAGCAGAAAAATGATCAGCAGTCAAATGTAAACGACTTTAAATGACGACATCAAAATCAGCGGAAGAATACGGTCACTATAAAGTATAATAATTATGTAAATGTTGCTAGTTAGTTCCAAACTAAAAACAGATGCAAAAAGGCAAAACAACTGGGATTCGTTGCTGTATAAACACGTGAGATTTATAAAATAAAACCATACTACTTACGAGTAGCTAACATCATATTGCTTAATTCCCTTTCCTTCATTCCATTGGTGAGTTAATAGCTATTAACCTTTACCTGGTTGACGAAATCTTTATATCTTTCGGCCATATTGTAATGGACACTTATTTGTATTTAGTAGTGACTACTTGTTACTGATATAATTCCTCGGAAAGTATTCATCAGACTTAATATACCTGATTCCAGTGAAACGACCATGCAAGGCTGTTCGTTATTATTTAAATTCAATCAACAGTCGGATATATAACAGAAATAAGTGGATTGGCGCAAAATGGTTACGACTTTTAATTGTCAAAATAATTAGCTTACTTATTTCTCAGCTTTCATCTTTTGATGTTGATCTAAATGAGAGTCGATTCCTTTGAAATGAATCCGAAATCGTACAATTACTTAACGAACTCAACGTTTGATTTAATCGCTTTAACTGATAATAATCATATTTCAATCTATCTTCTAAACGGTGTCTAGATGAATTGGGTAGAACAATTAATTCTTCATTTATTGCATAAGTATTTGAGTTAGTATTCTGGTGATGTTGACTATGGTTATCCTCCTCTAAATTGATAATAGATTGTTTTGTATTTGATAAATTATGATTATTGAGATGGGAATAGCTTGGTGCTGAAATATTATCAGATGAATGAATGGAATTGCTTCTAGATGATGACGTTCTACAAAAAAGACCTTCACTTGAATAATATTCATAAAATGTTCTAGCTAAATTTCTGCCTAGTCGAGCATCTAAAATAAGAGATTTTTATTATTTTAGTTAGGGCAATGCTTGTCAATCATAAGATTCAGGAGTTAAATTTTCCAGACGAAAAATAAATAGAAATTAAACTAGATTAAATGGTAATTTTGATTGGTTATTCTCTGTATATGCAATCACTTTCAAATTCCCTATGAATTCTGTTAGGTCAACATAATCTGTTATGTGATCTTGACTGTCACGAAGCTTTACAAGGGTCGGAAAATTATGTATACAAACTATTGGTAAATATAAATGATGTTAATGACCTAGACAAAGGTGTACGGAGTGACCTCGGTCAAATAGATAATGCACTTGCACATAGTAGCCTGCTAAAACTTATAATATTTTTTTCAGAAAATGATTCAGAACTTTATTTTTAGTAAATCGAGGTCTCAATGATCTCGTTCATTTCATATAGTATACCTTTGATATTACCACCAACTACATATGCACATTTACAAATACCCACCAAACTAGTAACATTTTGCCTATGTTTAATACCGAGAACATACTCTAAAAATTCTAAGGTCAAACGGATTAAAGGTTTTAGGAGCTGTATTCAGGAAATCGCTTTGGAGACAGAACAGCAAGCTGTAATATACTAAAATCTTTCAAGGTGAATATTAGACAATCGATCTCTAGTCTTTTAAAATATACTAAGGCAAATGCAATCGTTACGCATGGAATCGGACTTAGGTGTTAAAAAAAGTGGTAAATCCTTTTCTTATTGTGCTAACAGTACCCTCATTTTATAACTTTATTATAGTCATTTCTCCTATTTTGACTGAATCATTTTTAATTCTTTCAAATTCATGTGTTTATTTGTAACCAACTGACCTTAACTCAAACTATCCTTATTTGCAATGAGCCTGTGTTCAACTACTTCACTGAACAATCAGCTAGTTTTTCCGCTCTATGAACCCCCATTATAATCTCAATGTTCTAAAGTCTTCTTGCACACACCATTTGTTTGTGAAATTCCTTTCAGTCTTGTTAAATTTACTGAGATCGTCACTTTACTATGACAATGTATACTAACCTCTAATCAACTTCAATTTCACAAGTATGTTAACGTCTATAATAAATTTAATTTTAAAGCATGAGAGACAATACATAACCAACCAAAGCCTAACAAAATAAAATGGATTCCTAGTATTCTGGTCGAATCTTTATTTTCGCTCTGTAAAACTGGAACATAACGCTTAAAACACCTACAAAGAATATATATTTACTTCATATTGAAAAACATTGATTGTCAAATAAATGAATCGGCCTAATAGGTTAAAGGATACACTTTTCTTCGGTATATGGAATCATTTCATTGGTTAACATATTTGTATAACTGTAAAATGAAACCTCCAATGTATAACAAATAGTATGATCATCCAGAATACCACCCAACGTGCTAAAAGAAAATAATAAAAAGCAGCATACATGTAATACAATCGTTTTTACTAGCAAATGTTTTATCATTCAACTAATAATAATAAATCACAAGCAAAATAATTTTAACAAATCAAATAATTATAATGAAGTTCTACCATTACCATAGATTGTTAATGGTAGGTATTTTTCAATAGCAAAGTTATCATCTTAGCACAATGGTCTTATCAGAATAACACTACAACAAGATATATTAATATATCTTCTCTTACGTAACTTGTTCAATTGTGTAAGATATGAGCAAACAGTAGAAAAGATTAGTTGAGGTTGGCTAATGACAATCAATGCTAAAATAAGGTTAAAGATTGCTGGTAACGGCGCTGATTGATAAATTTAGTGAGAGATCGGTTTACGTTTAAATAGTATGTTTATCAAAATGATAATTCACAAATGTTGTAGACAAAATTGAAAGAAAATTCAAAACTTGAGATACCTTTTGTTCAGTGGATTAGTTTGTATTTACTGATCATTTCTGAAACAATGGTTTTTGAATGATTTTCAGTAGTAGTTCTAATGGAAAGCTACCTTTTGAGTCATTATATTATTGTCTTTTACCATCTATAAATCATACTCAAGTAAATGTAAATTCATCACTCAGCTTTGGATGCAAAATATCTTAGTGGTGCTGAGATTTGTAAATCATAATGCATTGCAACCTTACATAAACATGTGAGTATCTAGTTTAAATAATAAATACACTTGTGGCAACCTACTTGAACGTCCAGAGCTCTAACTGCAGATTCGGGATTTTTGGAATTTGTATGGACTATCGAGGGTTTGATGAATACAACTATGAAATCTGACGGTTTACTACTAGTGTGGTAGGTAAAATTAAAACAATGTAAGCTTTTCCACTAAAAATTGGTTGTTGTATACAACTGATTCAGTGGTCATTCTTATTTATACACTTTAAGTTTAACCAGAGAATAAAGTAACAAACCTCACAATTAACTATGGACTTTTGCTTATAATCTCCTTAGGGATGTTTATAACCACTAATGGAACAACAAATCTACCTTATACAAATTTTTTGAATAGTAAAAGTGCTTTATGCAACTCTCTTATAGATCTCAGGACTAATCGAAATCGGTGATACAAGTGACTCATTATTTTGTCAAATTCATTGTCAAGTAAGATGACTGAAGGTAATTTTTTGTTTGAAGGATCTTCGCTCTGTACATTATTGTTGAATAAGCTCGTATTTTCCCTGAGACTCCGAATTATATCGTTAGTAGCTGTAATTGAAGACATTAATTAATTTTAAAGTTAAAAACAACTTCAGCTGATCAGTGTGAATGGAGTGAATCATAGTATCTAGTTTCCTAGATTTACAACCACTGTCAAGAAAGAATGAAACATAACCCTGATTAATGCACAATCAAGCATCTGACTTCTGATATCATCGTTACAAAATGCGAATCAAAATATCAAACGAAAACGTTTTCATCATTAAGATATGTATACAAAACGATACCTGGAATTATACAATTTGTATCCAGATTCATCTAACTATCCGTTTTAATCAACTTAAAACTGTCAAGAAAAGTAACAATCTAATAACAAGATTTTTTGGTAAATTTTAATTTGTTGAATTTTCTTAAGAATCGTTAAATATTTTGCAACATTTTTTACGTTTTTTATGACAAAAATTAGATTCGGATACTTAGTTATAAATGAATGAAATTAAAAACTACTAACAAACTCAAATGCCGGAATAAAAATTGACTGATTTAATGTGAACAGAATTTTTATGATACGAAATAAATTTTCACTTACCGTCGACCAGTTCCAGCTTTCAAAGTATCCCTATTGAAATTTGTCTGAGGTAGGCTAAAATCTTCAGCAAACTGACTTAACAAACTTGGAAATCGAGCTTGTCTCTTGGCTCGTTTTTCATCTTCATATATATTTCCATACATAAATCCATTCATTAGCGTAGAATGTGCATGTATATCAATAAAGAAATTCACATCGACGAACTATAATCAGATTAAAATTAATTCAAACACAAAACTAAGAATACGTTCTCTTTCAAAGTGAAGTGAGTTTTCATTACATATTTATATTTGCTGAAAAACGATTTAAAGCGAAGGGGTTAGAAATCGGCGTCTGTGATTACGACATATATACGGTCCAGGATGAAACCTATTGAGAACCATTAAAGTACAAACAAACAATTGTCTAGTCTTTTCTACTTTCCTACAATTCTCCAGATGATTTTAGCCTATGAAGAATATCAATCAAATCAAGTAAACTCACTGTATTCCATTAGGAATGGATAAAAGAGATTAATAGAAAACCCTGAGTCAAAGTCCCCTAAGTTATTGTATACGTAACAAAAGGAAAAATAAAGTAACTTTAAACGTATTTCCAAGTTACAAAGTTGTGCTTATCAGAAGACAACATTGCATGAACAAACATAGTACACCAGAATAAACTAATAATAATTTCTTGAATGTACCAACAAACAATCTTTTGGAAAATAGAACAAGGCTAATTCTTATACTTCATGATGGCTACTTTGGCCTTTGGATTTTATTGTACAAACAGTAATTCTACTAGACGAAACGTGTTTTTTTTTACATAGTCATCTTATAATTAATAAGCGTAATAAATTATTTATTTACAATAATACCGAAACCTAACAAATTCAATGTTCATGAAGGTTATCCTTGAAAGCTTAAACTGAACGTAAACATTCTCCCAAGCAATGAAAGTGTATAAAGGATGATATAAAAACTGATTTTGAAATTCGGTTAATAGACTATAGATTTCCAAGTACAAAAGCTTGATTACTTACAGTTCAAACTATGTTTTATTTACAAGCACACATTTGTCTGTATTCATCCAGCAGATTGTGTATGCTTGAAAAAAATGTTTACAATAAAAAATTCGACAGATAAAATAATTTTGTTAAAAAGCTTATAACGTACTGCATTATTGTCCAAATTCATTAACAGTTGTTTTGTAGCATAAATAGTAGGATGTGCCCATAAGGATGGAGACTGCCATTGCCTATTTAAATCATATCCCATTAAGGATGATCTAAAAACAAAGAGGATTAGATTGTTTTTTAGGCTAAAAACAGACATTTTAAGACATTTCTATTGTTATAATTTATGGTATCTGTTAATGCACGCTTTAAAGTTGTTGTAGTACACAGAAAAGGGACCTCAGGATTAAATTGTGATAACATGCAACTATCTCCAATAATAATTAAAATTGGATATTCGCTTTAATGTATATCAGGAGCAATGAACAAACGTATAGTTAGGGAATGATTTCAAGACACCAAAATAACTTTGATTACGATTACAAACTTTAAATCTATTAACCATTGATCTGCATTTGTAAATTTCTTGATGAGGCTTTACAGTAGTGTAAATCTAATGGCTGCAAACATTCGGAAATACGAATAACAATATCATAGTACAACATAACTGTTTTTCTATACATAAACCAATAAAAAGAGGTGACCTTTGAGCAACAAATGTGCAACAAGGACGAGGAGGTGATACGTGTTTGTGAATTTATCTTTAAAACAATAAAAAATTCTAAAACACCCACTTAATTTTGAATTGTTCCTTCAATTAAAAACTCATTTACAACAAAAAAGCAAAATATACACGCTTTTTTTATTTCAAATCACTCTCACTTTCATGATTTTAAAGAGAAAATATTAACTAAAACATTATACATTTGAGTAATGAGTACTTGATTGATAAGATGGTTTCATATACAATCCGACATTTCAACAAATTTCATGAATTATGTGAAACCTACATCACTTTGTTTTTCCCATTTCATTACAGATTTGCTGAGTCTATTTATTTTGACTGCTCAAAAAAAATACATTTCGGCTTTACTACTAATACGTTTTCAACAGTTATTTGCTAATTCTCATCATATCTATGCAGCAAATAGTCAACTAGAATTCATCCATACCGCCTCTACGTAATCAATTCTAAAAAGTGTTTTACGGAACGAAAAGCAAACAAAGTGCTTGTTTCACACTAATATTAAGCTTACTGGAAAGTGTATTATGCAAATAAAATTGAAGATACTGTTTTGATTATGACAGATAACAAGAGCTTACCTATAATTTCCTAAATAGACACCATCCGGATTTAACATTGGAACAATTTTAAAAATTAATCGTTCACGCAATTGTTGAGCTATTGAATGATTGCTAACCATGAAATCAATAAACCCTATAATATTTTGACGAAAAATACAAGTATATATATATTTAGAACGTCCTTCAACATAACAAATTAGGTTCATTAAGTGATCAAGAAAGCGCAAATATGAAAAATGAATTGCGAGATATTGTGTTGAGAATAAGAAATCATGTTCAAAACAGAGGAGAATATACTTTGTGAGCATTTGTTTATATAGTTAATTCTCGGGTTACACAGAAATGAGTTTGTTTGAATACATCGGCTGAAAAAGCACCTTTACTTCACTGAACATTTCCACAATCGAATTAATGTCCATAGTTTACCGCATGTATATAAATAGAGAAAGCAAAGTCACAACTCTTGACTGATAATTGTAGTGTTGATGTTGTTCAGAAAAATAACAAAAGCTGCACAACCACACTATGTGGCTTAGAGAAAGGAAACTCCACCATAATCATCCTCCCAAGCTACTACGTTTCTCTAGGATTCTCTTATGCCATTTGAATGAGATAAAATTTCCGTCACATTGAATTTTTAGCTACTGTAAATAAACCTAAAAGCTCTGAAACCTAACTACCTTTAAAGAATTCATTGTATATATTAAATAAGCGAGGGGAAGCAACTTACATTCTAATAAAAATAGCACACAAATTATTTTGTTATCAGTAAATGAAAAACCTTCTATTGAATATCATACACCTACTTACCTTGACAAACATAAGATGATGGGGTCTCACCAGGATGAACACGAGCAGTCACAAATATCACACGTTTTCTGTCAGCCGTTTTATTTAGGTTATTAGGATGAGTAATTGTTATAAGATCTAAACGTCTTTGTTGCTTGTAAAGTGGAAATAAGTTGCAAATACGCACACAATTAACAAAATATGAATGTAAGAAATATGAAAGTAAAAGGAAGAAAACAAACAGGTTAGGATGAGTTGAGTCTTCTATCTCAATTGCGAAAACAATACAATATGACAAGAAATATTTTAAGTGATCCTGAAGAACCACTTGGAAAGTTTTCGTTTTTATAGTATAAACTAACTTTTTCATATGATTTTGGGATTCTGAATGTTCTGTTAAACGATTTGCACGATTTGTACTCGTCTGACCTTTGAATTTATATTTAATTCGAATAGCTGATTGATTTTAAAAAAAGATTTGTTTTTTCCATTATTGAAGGTAATGATATGTTAAGAAACGATGCCTAATGAACAAATGTGGGTTTTATTATTTAGTCATTCTAAATAAAGATAAAAGACTGAACACAAAGGAACTAATGCAGTATTAAGACAGTTAATACTTCTGATATTTTAGTTAAAAACAAACCCATAAATTTATGGCTGTTATAAAAACATCTTTGGTGATTCCATTATAAATTCATATGAGACACGTTTGATCTTAGTAAATATGATCGTCTAGTACACTCTAGATCATGTAGATAAAACGTTTCTCACCAGACAGATATCTAGTGTTGTTTGAAGTAATTCAAAACAAAAGTCGTCTTATTAAATCAACCACTTATGATGAAACCCGATTCCTTACTTAGATGATTAAACCACTCTTCCAACAATAAATTATTTGTTTCTCTGAGTTTACCAAGCGATTTAAGTTTTCCACTTAAAAAATGATGAATAAAACGAGTAATGAAGAAAAAAGATTGTTTGTTTCCGTGTCGAGTATTCTTTTTAATAACAGCCAACTAGTCAAACTAACATCCCTTAGAAAAACACTAAGTTTATATTGAGTTATACGTTATATATGAGTAAGCCGTTAAAGGTTTCAGTATGTGCAACATCTTGCTTTTAGAAGGGCTTTTGATATAAAGCTATTCGGGAATTTTTACCCACAGATAGCACATTTTAGACTATCGTTGTAAAGAAACAATAGTATAGGAAACATTCAAATGAGGTATCGATATAATTACCAAAGTATGAGTATTTGATTCACTTGAGAAAGCTTTTTGAAAGTATAAATTCACGATTCGTAAAAATTCAAAGAAAACGGTATCCTTTAGACTGTTTCACCTAGACTACGGTTTGGTTTCCAGTATAATTACAGGAAACGGTGTCTGTGCTGTAGCTGAGTAATATAACCTTTACCAAACAAATCTATCGCTTCATTAACGATGTATATATGGAATTAGGGTTTTGTCTGTTACCAAAAATTACCCTTCAAAAATCTACCTCATATCTCTCAAATATACCGAAATCGCTAACACGATATCGAACCACACGAATGCAACCAAAAATGAAATATTATATGATGGTACCCACACGATAAAAGCTCTGAATCTAGTATTATCTCTGAACAAACACAACCAACAGAATTGTGTATACTATATACAGTAATTAGTTGGCGAAAGCCTGGTTCTGCCTCACACCAACTGATTTTATATTTAGCAAATCTTTAAGAGTACATATATGACTTAAGAAAGTTTATGGAAAAAAAATTAGCGAAAAGTGTTAAGAGTTTATTTATAACTAGTTCACTTTACCACTTAAAAATAAATGTACCTACTATTGTCAGACCCAAGAGTTCTCTCTTCAAATGTGCATAATGTTTACTCTCTAGTATCCCTAAGTATGTTTGCAGTCTGCTATAAGTATATGGATAACAGTAAGCAAATTGATAAACATCCTCTTCGCAGTCGAAAGAAAATGCGAAAGACATTACGTATTTTTTCTTGTGTTTAGGGGAGCGGTAGTAGAAAACACACTTTTGTGGGATGCGAGACCTGAGCTAGGCATATAATGAAATAAAATACTTACCAGGAAGGACGGCTAGATGATTTAACAACTGGGGACATACCTTCTCGATACAAAGACTTTGTCTTGCTAAAATTTACTACATTGAAAATTACTCTCTGATTATTAGTGGAGGACTAATAATATTACCTGTTCATATTTGGTGTTTTCTACTGTGAAGTTAAACCATACTCTGAATCGTGCATTGCATGTATCCGGACGTATGAATAAATCATACTCATATTCACTGACGTACTCAACCTTTCCGAGATTTCCTTAGTTATGATAGAAAAAAAGATAAATGAAGTACCGCTTTCGAAACATGCATCAAAGATAAGATGACCTCTTTGTAATTTTCCAGCATACCCAGAAGGTATAACTGACAATTTACTCACATTGCCTACAACATTGTCGTTGATACCGTCAGAATCACTTCCTCCAGATTCGTTTTGTTCTACAAAAGCACTACTGAATAAATCCTCGCATGACTTTCTTTTCGCCCTCATCTGATATGACAGCTTCATTAGCAACACAAATATAAAGTAGAGTAGACAAACAATTTCACTAGTCCATTTCTAAAACTCATTATTTCCAATATCCAATATATTCTTCATGAGTTTCTATAAGCTGATTGCTTTCTTCATGCTAGCTTCTTGTTCTTCTAGTACGGTTCTAAGTGTTCGGTCTTGTCAACTTGATCGCACTACTTCCATTCACTTGGTTAGTTTTTTATGAATTTGTTTGTCTCGTGATTTGTTTGCGTGCATTTTTTTCAGGTAAGTAGAGATTCTGAACACCTATACCTATCATATTACTAGGTTGGAGATCCGTTAGTTGTAATGTAGACGATAATAAGAAAATCCCCAAGCTAATAAGAATAGGAAAATCTTAGAACCATGTATGATAATCCGTATGTGAGTATGCGGTTATCGTCTTTTCTTGGGGCTATCTACTGAGAGGGCTGCGGTCACTTTGACTGTGATACCTTGGTGTTCTCTGTTTGACATGCTTTTTTCGAGGATCACGTCGGGATGTGTGGTAGTGATATTTTAGCAAGATTATCGTGTTGGGATTTTTTGGCTTACTTATTATGTTGTGCGCCATTATCAGATCATCTTTGATTCTGTCATGACAAGGCAGAATAGTACCAGGTGTCGGAGTCTATTCTTTAACCAGTAACTCAGCACTTGCGCCAGCAGATTTATATCTCTTTTAAGGGGAAGTGATGCGACGACATTGTGAACCCCAAAGTGTGACCATGCTTGTGTCGAAGGGTGATAAAAACAACTGTGCAGTGACTGCACCAAGCTGTCTTCACATAAAGTGAATAGTTGCGTTAGCCATATAGCTTGAAGTGGAGGTTAGGCTTTCTGTGGTTATAAGACCGAGATCGCGTTCTGAGGGAACATTTGAGCTTTGATTGAGGACGCATATCCTTTGTGTAACGTGAGGCAGGATTTTGATGACGAGAAATTTTGAATTGATAAGTTTTAACTCGTTGTCCACTCCCTCTTCCTTTTAAAGCTCAGCTGAATTTTTTTCCGATTCTTATGAACCTCTTGTTCTTTCGTTGGCTTAATAGATTAGTGACGCCGAGCTGATTTTATCTCGTAGGTTATTAATGAGTATCAGGAAGAGCATTGAACCTAAGATAGTTCCCTGTGAAACTCCTGATGTTGCGACCTCGATCACAGGCACTCTACTTACCAGGGTTCAAAACCTTCTGTTCCCAAGGTAGTTTCTGAGCCAAGATACAAGTGGATCTGGAAAGCCTTCTTCGCCATCTCTGCTAATAGGAGTACGTGGAGTACTGAGTGGTATTATTTTGTGAAGTCCAGGAATATTATATGAACCAGTACTTTTTGGTCTCAGAAGGCTGTTCAGCCGCTCCATGCAATGGTGGAAGATTGTATGCTCACGACCTGTCTTTAGTAAACCCATGTGAAGCTTCATGGAGAAGGTTGTCCTGCTCATTCACTAGTTCTTTCATTACATTCGATAATATTCATTGTGATGAGATTGGTCTGTAAGAGTCTGGGTCTTTCCTATCTCCTTATGTAAATATTACAGAAAGAGTGGCTTCTTCCTATCGAGCCGAAGGTTGGTGTGATTACACTGGATATTTGAGCAGAACACAACGACAAAGTGAGACTATATTGGGTAATATTATCACTTCCTGGTGACTGTCCTGGGTGCAGAAATATCGTTTTTTCTTAGAACAATCGGTTGTCACTAAGTTTTATTAGTACTTTGAACTTGTGGGTAACCTGTTAAATTGGTCGGTGAATTTTGCAATAAAGATTTCAGCCATCTCTGAGTTCTTCGCTATTTGGTCCTTTGAGAACGCAAACAACCTGGTTTGTAGGTCTTCTTTAAGTCATGAAAATGAACAGATACATTTGTGGCTCACCTATATTTTTGCAGCTAGTTTCGTTTAAAAGTATCTCCCATAGATTCGAACTACGGCAATGAATTCATTTCTCAAAGGCAAGTAAACACAGTGGATAAAATCCTTAAGAGACCTTACAATCATGCCAATATCTCCATTTTGCCTGTAGCAAGCTTTCAGTGCCTTGTTTCTCTTTCTAAGTGTGTACTTTTACAGAGGTATATTACGTAGGACAGCATTCTGTGAGGTGTCTCTTGGTATCTTAAAGTGTTCATCTACTGTTAGCTTCCACCGGTCTCGTGACCATGGCGCATGTCAAAGATACTCTCTCATGTTCGCGCAGTTTTCCCAAACCCAACAAAGGTAAGACTCATTTTCGACCCTCCTGAATATGCTGTCTATAACCATGTCAAACATAACTAATCCATTGTCACTACTTCAAACTGTTGTATGGAAATTGCCTGGTAGCTGATCATTTGTTGACAAATAATCTAGGTTTTCGCATTTTCCTCCAGTAGTCCATCTGGTGGCATTTCATACATGCTCAATCAGTCCAGAACTTTTAAAGGTTGTGCCAGGAGGTCTTTGGAACAAACCTGTTGGAGGCGTACTCCGTTTTCTTAGATCAAGAGGTGGAGTGTCACAATCTCAAGCTAAGAGTATTTGATTGAAACCAGTGGGAGATTGTAAATCCCTCCAATCAACTGTTTTGTGCCGTTAATGTTGAAGCAACACCAACATGATTCTGTTACGTCGATTAAATAAATGTTGAGTTGTGTCATCGTTTTGAAATGGCTGCTAACATATGACGGCACCCCACCTCCTGTTTTGTGCACCCCATTAGGTATTCTAGCCACTCGCCTGAACTGAATCTAGTCATTTTGGTAGCCATTGTGAATTCGTATTTCTTGTAATTTGAAATATTATGACGGTAGGGTTTCTGAGTATTAACGGCCATCACTTTACCAGGCCGGAGATCAGTTAGTTGTAAAGTCTTCAATACTGAGCAGAAAACTCTATTGCTTAGGACAAAACGAATGTTCGAGAAAGCATACGGATCAATTCTTTCATCGTATAATCATAAGAATGGAAGAAGAAAGGAGTAATAATTAGCGAGATAGAATTAGTATTTGTCATGAGGCTGGTGGTAACGGCAGATAAGTTCCGAAGCATGCATTAGGCACGACTGGTGTAAGTTGGAAATGATAATCCGTTTATAAGCATGTGTTTGCCTAGTCTCCACTTGAAACTACCCACTAAGGGTTTGTAGTCATTTCGCCTGTAAGAGCATTAAAAGTGGGAAACAGTTGGCACTAAAAACCGTAACCAGCTCATAGTCTATAAGATTTTCAATGCTTGGAACTTAGAAGATATCTTTTCTCTTATTCAGGAACCGTTAGAGTTATTTTGCGTTTTCTCGTATTTTAACAGCTAGCCCTAACAAAAGATATCTACTATCCCTCTGTTGACACCGTATCTTATACTTTAAGTCAACACAACAGTACTGCCAGTAAAATAGTTTATTTGAGGTAATGATGAATGAAGTATTGTATGTGACCATACCTTCAAGGCCTAGGCTCACTGTCTATTATTTACCCGAAGATTGAATTCCTCCGATCCTCATGGTATAATTAACCGATCAACTTACTACACATGGATTTATAAACTAGGAATGCATTCATTTTAAAAGATCTTTCAAATGATCTTGTTCGTCCTTGTATACTGTGCTAATCTACTGCCCTTCACTTAGCTGTTCTTGAGCTGGATAATATAGTCATGGAGCCTGTTAGTATGGTTTCGCATCCTTGCTTATAAGTTCTTTGGTTGCATACATACGCATAATTGTGCACGCATACCCCTATATTTTTACTGACCTTATGAAAACAGCACTTAGTTCAACCAAATATGGAACTTTAATACAGTCTCCAATCCTTTATAACTACTACGCTTATATTTCAGTCCATTTGAAAATATTATCGCATCGCCTAAGAGTTGGGTTTCCAAATGTTCATTCCTATTCAGTCTTTGCTGACTGTGAATTTTATTTTGCGTTAAATACTACACACGCAACAATGCTACAAGTTTTTAAGAAATTCACCATCTCTGATGGTAATTAGTAATGATCAGAATGCATATCTGAAATACGCTGTTGCAAAGATATTAATATGATTCATACAACTTATTTTTATGTTAAAGCGGGATTGTTTCATCTTCGGTAAATTTTGGGCGCAGTAAAGGTTGAATACAGAAAATATGCACAATTCAAAGCACATTTTTGAAAGAAGATAAGATTTCTAAAACACAAATTAAAAAATCTTGATTAAAGTGACAAAGTATGGTTGGATACGAGCTTCATCAGTAACAGTTCAAAATATTGTGATGAAAATCGTTATTCAGAGCAGAGAAAGCTAGTCAGACGTCGATCGGCAAGAGTAATATTTACATCTTGGAAATTAAAATGAGTCTGTAAATTCAATTTTTTGAGTGCTTGGAGCACAAGCTTTTTTTATCAGAGAATCCTAGGAGATCAAGAGTACAGTATCTTACGTATGCCCGGAGGACAAACATGATTACAATGAGAGCGAATAATAACAGTTGAACCTTAGATATTCAAACGGAGTATTTAAAGGTATATCTTGTTACGGTGAATCCAATAAATATGGATCCAGGTTTGCATAAATAATTCGTAGTAACACTAGTAGTCTCACGGATCATCCAGAAGTCGAAATTGAAAGTATATGATCTTGTTGTATCAAGTTATTTTCTAATAACTGCATTAAAAATACTCCTACTCGTGGTATTTTTTCAAAAAGTATATTAGGTTCTGAAAGTGACTGGTCACTGATATGAAATAATAGAATTAGCGCGTACGAGATGGATTATATTCCAGTCATCAGCCTGTTATGATGTGTGGTGTTCCAGATCCGGTCGTACTGAATGCTAACCACCCCGAAAACTGACTACTTAAGCTGGAAGTCTGAACTTACTTACTTACGCCTGTCACCCCCAATGGAGCATAGGCCGCCCACCATTTTGTTTATAAAAAATCCTGTCCTGGGCTTCCTTCTCCAGTTATGTCCAATTGTAGATTTATTTCGACGGCGGCTGTCCTAATTGCTTCCAGTAGAAACACTCCTGTACGTTACTCCTAGATCCAGGTCCCAGCCAAATCAAAAGGTCAAAATTCTAGGAGAAAACGTCTCTTATTAATATAAAATGGAAATACAGAGGCTTACGGTATTTTTGTTTCTTCCAGGACTAAATTACTCCGTAGAGTATCTATTACAATAGCTAGTAAGTGACACTAAGTCCAGCAGCCACCGCGTCTATCCAAAAATGTGGCGGTAGCCATATTATATCAAATTTAAACAATATATGTACAATTCAGAAGCAAACCCAAAAACTTCAATATAAGTACAAAATATAGAAAGAATAACAATATACAATGATAAAATCTCAAATTGGAATCAAATAAAATACCAAAAATGTCAAGAGAAAAAGTCCATCATGTCATAGCAAAATATGTAAACATGGAGGGATTTTCCCAAAAACAAAACATTCAAAAAGAATTCTACACCAATGTCTGTTCATTCCCCTCATATCTTTCTCTATTTCTCGGCGTAATGTTCCTTGGCCTTCCTCTTTTCCTTTTGCCTTGAGGGTTCCATGTGAGGGCTTGTCTTGTGACGCAGTTAGGTGCTTTTCGTAGTGTGTGTCCTATCCACTTCCACCGCTTCTTCCTGATTTCCTCCTCCACTGGAATCTAGTTTGTTCTCTCCCACAGTTCGTTGTTGCTGATCGTGTCTGGCCAACGAATCCAAAGTTTTTTGCGAAGACAACTGTTAATAAACACTTGTATCTTCTGGATGATAGCTTTCGTAGTTCTCCAAGTTTCCGCTCCATACAGTACAACTGTCTTGACATTTGTATTGAAAATCCTAATTTTGGTTTTGGTTGAAAGTTATTTGGAGTTCCAGATATTTTTCAACTGTAGAAATGCAGCCCTTGTTTTGCATATCCGCGCCCTCACATCTTCATTGGATCCACCTTGATTGTCGATGATGCTGCCAAGATATGTAAAGGTGTTAACGTCCTCCAAGGCTTCTCCATCAAGAGTGATTTGGTTGGTGCATGTTGTGTCGTATCAAAGAATCTTGCTTGTCCCTTTGTGTTTATGTTAAGACCTACTGCTGCAGAGGCTGCTGCTACACTGGTCGTCTTCTCTTGCATTTGTTGTTGAGTGTGCGATAGAAGAGCCAGGTCATCTGCGAAGTCCAGATCGTCCAGCTGCGTCCTAACTGTCCAGTTGATACCGTGCTTACCTCCAGATGTTGACGTCTTCATAATCCGGTCGATGACCAGGAGAAAGAGAAAGGGTGAGAGTAAGCAACATTGCCTCACACCAGTCTTCACCTCGAAAGAGTCTGTCAGCTGACCTCCGTGCACGATTTTGCAGTTGAATCCATCATAAGAATTCCGTATGATGTTGACTATTTTCTCAGGCACACCGTAGTGTCGAAGAAGCCTCCACAGTGTTTTCCTATCCACGCTATCGAATGCTTTCTCGTAGTCGATGAAGCTGATGTAGAGTGGTGAGTTCCATTCAATTGATTGTTCCACAATGATCCGTAATTTAGCAATTTGGTCAATACACGATCGACCCTTACGAAATCCAGCCTGTTGATCTCGAAGTTGGATGTCTACGAAGTCCTTCATTCTGTTTAACAATACTCTGTAGAAGACTTTGCCTGGTATTGAAAGAAGAGTGATGCCTCTGTAGTTCTCACACTCGCTGAGATCGCCTTTCTTTAGTATTTTGATCAGGTATCCTTCTTTCCAATCTGATGGTACTTGTTCCTCATCCCAAATCTTCTTGAAGAGGATGTGGAATATTTTCACAATTGCTTCCACGTCTGCTTTCATTGCCTCTGCTAGAATGCTGTCTGGTCCTGCTGCTTTGCCTCTCTTGATTTGTCTGATGGCCACACTGATCTCCTCAATCGTAGGTACGCCAAAATTAATTTGGAGGTCCGTGGATGCTGCTTCGATGTTGGGTGGGTTCAGTGGAGCTGGTCCATTCAGGAGTTCCTGAAAGTGTTCTACCCACCTATTTCGCTGTTGTTCAGTGTTGCTGATTACTTTGCTTTCCTTGCATTTCACTGGTCGTTCTGGTTTACTATAGTTCCCGGCGAGCTTCTTTGTAGTTTCGTACAATTGTCTCAAGTTTCCGTCTCTTGCAGCCTTTTCGGCTGTCATTGCTAGATCTTCCACATATTTTCGTTTGTCAGCTCTGATGCTCTTCTTCACTTCCCTGTTTGCTTCTATGTGTGCACCTTGTGCCTTGACTTTCTCTGCTCTTGTTCGGCTGACATTGATTGCTGACTTCTTGTTCCTCCTTTCTTCAATTTTTGCAAGAGTATCAACAGAGATCCATTCCTTGTGATGGTGCTTCTTGCGACCAAGGACCTCCTGACATGTTGAAGTGATTGCCTCCTTAATCCCTTTCCAATTGTTCTCCAATGTTGTGTCCTCTCCATTGTGTAGATCCTGAAAGGCCTGGAACCTATTGGTGAGGGCTATCCTGAATTTGTTGAGCTTTACAGTATCCCGAAGAAAGGCCGTACTAACCTTCTGTGATGTTGTCTGTCCCGTTGTCCAGCGATTCTTTAGTTTCAGTTTCATTTTGTTGATCTGATGCTACATCAGCTCCTCTCTTGGTTCTCACATCCTCCATGGTCCTTCTGAACGTTTTGTTGATACAGATATGGTCAATTTGGTTTTGAGTAGTGTGGTCCGGTGAAATCCATGTGGCTTTGTGAATGCGTTTGTGCGGGAATATTGTGCCACCGATGACCAGTTTGTTGAAGGCACATAGGTTTGCAAATCTCTCACCGTTTTCGTTTCTTTCTCCCAGTCCATGTCGTCCCATGATGTCTTCATATCCAGTGTTGTCCATTCCAACCTTGGCATTCAGGTCTCCCATAAGAATCGTCAAATCCTTCGGCGAACATTTCTCGACGATTGACTGCAGCCTTTCGTAGAATCGATCTTTATCGTCGTCATTGTAGTCGTTGGTAGGTGCATAACATTGGATGACGTTCATTGTAATGTCCTTTTTCTTTGTTTTGAAGGATGCTTTAATGATCCTAGGTCCATGAGATTCCCATCCTATTAGTGCCTTTTGTGCATGTTTGGACAACTCCTTGTGTATGTGAAGCATTTTCCTCTTCATGACCAGAGTATAACAGCAGTTCCCCTGAACCTAGTCTCAGTTGTCCTACCTGTGTCCAACGCGTTTCAGTGATGCCGAGCACCTCGATGTTGTATCTTTTCATTTCTGCCGCAACTTGAAATAGTCTTCCAGTCTCCCACAATGTATGAACGTTCCATGTACCTAAAAGAGTGGTTGCTCTGGTTGTCAGACGAGGTATCGGCCCCGTGACTTCCGAGGGAACTCGGCTTTCATCACGCGACTTCATAATTCTTCTTCCAACTCCCAGGGCAGAGTTAAAATGGTTTGAATTAGTTTTTCTGGTTGGCGTTTTCTTGGCAAGTTAGTTTTTGACGAAATGGGGTCGCCAACTCTATGTCCAACCCTCCTCCTTTACCGGCATTAGACCCGAAGGTTTTACTGGTGCAGTTTGTAAGTCTGAAAAATATATACGAATACAAACTTGTGTGTACATATATGTTCCCATTTCCTAGGAAAGGAAACAATTTCTTGGTTAGTGATATCTAATCGCTTTGGAGATCATTTCTAGAAGTCGTGAAAGGGCCTTCTAATTCGATCACTTCTAAATGGATCACAAAATGAAGACCCAGTAATCAAGTGTAAATTGACTCAGTAGATAACTTTATTTTCTTTCTTGATAGAAAAGGATAATCAGTGGCATATCAATCTAGTATATTTCACCAGTGGAACGTTCGTCAAGAATCTCTCTACTAGTTCGAAATTCGTTCTATTACCAACTCATAGTCCATACTGCAAACGTAAATTATCAATTGGGTTTAATATAGGTAGATAGCAAAATAACTTACTGAGAAGCAAGGAAGATGTGTTAGATGGTTTTCTGAAACGAGCTATTAAAATGTATGCTACGTAATCATGTAATGCCTATAACGACTTCAGCACAGGTATCAAACGCATAGAAAACTATTTATTTTAGGGACTAGATTATCATCATTCCACGGCGAATTTCGACTTCATTATTAGAGTGAAGTAGAAATCCTAAAATTACAGTCGGATTTCTAAATTTTTTTCGTCCACAGTTCTCGCTAAGCGTTGGCTACTTACGAAAAAGGACAATGCGAATGCACGCTACTATGTAAAATACACAATAATGATTTTTCTGAAGAAACAGTTGCTATTTCTTTATACGAGTTCGTCCGCTGGGTGAATACCAAGTATAATACTAGGGATTGTGGAACAATAAAATCTTCTTCAAAAAGATATATATGATTGAAAATACACTATTATGGTTTTTATTTTGGTCAGACATTTTTCATTGAACATGCATACTGGGTACGAATCAGCTGCTGTTGTTTAAGTGGTTACCTACCTATCACCATTTTGATTGGCGTAATAATCTTGAGTAATGGCTAGGACAAAGCAAACTGCTAGGAAGTCAACTGGTGGTAAAGCACCAAGGAAACAGTTAGCAACGAAAGCTGCGCGCAAGTCTGCTCCATCAACAGGTGGTGTGAAAAAGCCCCATCGTTACCGTCCTGGGACTGTTGCTTTGCGAGAGATCCGTCGCTACCAGAAGTCCACTGAACTGTTGATCCGCAAGTTGCCCTTCCAAAGACTAGTTCGCGAAATCGCACAGGATTTCAAGACAGATCTGCGTTTCCAGAGCGCTGCAGTCGGTGCTCTTCAAGAGGCGAGTGAGGCATACCTGGTAGGCCTGTTCGAAGATACCAACCTTTGTGCAATTCATGCTAAAAGAGTCACAATTATGCCGAAGGATATCCAGTTAGCCCGCCGTATTCGGGGAGAACGAGCTTAAAATTTCATTCTAATAAATGTTAACTTACATAACCGTTTGTTTGATTTTCGCCTCACCGATGGGGATTAATCTGTTGAGTGTAAGCCGTATTACTACTATATGTCATAGGAGTCTAGATATATGCGTATCAGCAGTAGAATATTGTAGGTATGCAGTATCGTTTTTAGTGATGAACATGAAATACAGGGTGCTCTTAGTGTATTTCACATGTTCGCCGATTGAAGTTGATAGTAGCTAGTGTTCGTGTGCCTGCAATCAAACCACATAGTTGGGATCATGTAAATTCATGTTATTAGCCGCCAGATACACGTTCGTTCGTACCTACGAAACATCAGGATGAGCAGGCGTTAGTAGTCTATCCTGTTCTTGGTGGGGATGGTCCATACCTTGTGTGGCTAGGGGTCGTACATGACGAACAGTGATGTGCGACCGCGAGGCAGTTACCCTTCAGGACAGGGGCTTGGTTGTTAGTAGTGGTAGATGTCAGTTCCGAGCCAACAATGTAGTTCAGGTGCTGTATGCCGCCTCAGGTCTTGGGTTATTCTCGTAAAAGCTGCCAAAGTTCGGTCAGGAACGTTATCGCGTCATGCAACTCGGCACCACTTCGGAGTGTAATCGAGCTATTAGGGTAGCCTGTGGTGGGTCAGTTTTTTGAGTATTCATACTAAATCTTAAAGATTGAAGAGTAATCAGTTTAAGCGGTGAACAAAGTACCACTTTTATTCGTCCAAGGCAAGTTAGATTTTCTTACCTCAGAATCATATAAAGCTGCAGCGCATCGATTCAGTCTTATTTAGCGGAACAGTGCAATTGTTGTAGTCGTCAATATCGTAATAGTTTGTGACTACAGTACTTATTTTGTGAACCATAGCAAGGTAATGTCGCTGGTCTCAAAGTAGCTTGAATTTCATAGTAGTGTTGCTGCAATATTCTCATCAACTTGAAAAAACTTCATATCCTAAACATCAGTGCCCTCAGGTATTACTCCTAAACTTTAACGAGATGTGAAATACTATAGTAGCAGCTTTTTACTTGTTAGATATTTTGTCACTCATTTAAATACTACGGAGAAGTATCAACACAACGTAGAACTTTGCACGTAAGTACATCAGTTCAAGTTGCCATACCACGTTAGCACAGATATAATTACCAATTTAAATCCCATAGTAGTAAAGGTAGTAAGAGAATTAGAAGTAATCGGAGAGATTAGGGTTCGAAGATGTTATTCAAGAAGTATAATTCAGTGAGGCAATGAGTAATTCAGGTTAGAATTTCATAGAATACAAATGCACCTGCGCTATTGCGAACGGTTTTGAGCCGTCATTCAACGTTCATTCATTCACCATCAATTACTATCATCTAGTGGGCCCCATTATGGAGAAGCGGTATTAATGTAAGACCTAATCCGAGTCTATTCTCAATATTACTGATCCGGAGCTAAATGTCAACCTCCGCTAGACATTTTTTCGAAGACTCACAAATAGCGAACAATTACGTAAAGCATTCTGTGGCAACTTGCCCTAGTATTTCAAGGATTTTTGGGTGAGACAGTGGCTGCAATCGCTATCGCATTGTCTTCGTGTGTGGTGAAAAGTAATGTAGACAGAAAGAAAAGAGTGAAGTAATATGGTGGACCAGGAGCGGTTCAAACGACGCCGTAGTACACAAGTAATGTAGTCATTTACAATCTAAAGCTACGATTAACAGTTTTACACTTACACAGTTGCTAACAGATCATAAAGGACGAGTAAGTAGAGGAATTCTATAACTAGGTACAGTGCTCTATGATTTCCCAATCTAGGAGGATCTGGGTACAACGGTATATAAAGATTGACGATACTTTTGTCACGACCAAGAGGGTTTAGATACATGTGCAAGTCGAAGAGACTTATAGGCAGCAATATTATTCAACCGAAATGGATTTTAAAAATATAGTACCAACTGCCTGTCAGCACTTTCATCTAAAGATGGCCGAAATCCGGAAAAGGACAGTCCAACATTGTTAACACTGTCGAGTACAGCTATCCTATGGACTTTAAATCACAGACTGAATACTTAGGCAACAACACCAGTCACTTTAAGCGCCTTTCGTAAAATATTACGTCGGGATATAGATGATTCATTCGGATTAGTTACTCTTTGTGGAATAGACAAGGGTTAGGCATAGTTTTATGTACATATATTCAACCCGCCATCCATATTTTCTGAACAAATGACGTTGAATAACCGTACTTGATAAATTAATAGTGGAATTACCTTCCCTATTTGATAGCAGTGATGGGGGCGATACATCATGCAAGTAGGACCAGATGACAGCATTTCGATTACATTCATTAAGTTTGTTAATCGTACAAACATAAAGTATTCGACGCAATCACTTACAAAACGTATCAAAAACAATATAAACACACTGGACTATATTGTGTCTACAAAACCCATAGGACCGTAAACATTATGATAATGATGACAGACATGATACAAACTTAATCGCATATGAAGGGGGAATGTTCGTTAAGATGAGGACTAGTTACCCCCATGACTTGTAAACGAAGCGACGTCGGGTTTCTGTTTCAAAGACAATAGGGAAACCAGTACAACTTTTACGTGCTGAGCATACAATTAGACTTCCACGCTCTTAAACATATGAACAGTACAAATCGTTTACATTTTGCCCATTACCGTGGAGTTGTAGGATCTGACTAGTTATTCTGTACAAAGAAATAGATTTAGTCACGCAATCAGTGAAAAAAATATGAGTTGGGATAAACCTAACCTTATTGCTTGTCATGGAAGGACGGATCGAAACATAACGAAAAGATTTAAATCCCAAAGCTGGCTTTCTGAAAAAAGTGCAAAACCATTAACGAGTTGAGATAGATCACCGAGAAATTCCATAATTCGTAAATGATGCAACACAAGTCAGGTGGATAGCTCCAGAAGCGATAGCTGAAAACAAGATTTCCAGCATATAAGCGAAAAGTATAATTTTCATATGCAGTACATAAATATATTAAATGCCTTAACAAAGTTTGTGGTTAAGGCGGGACCAGAATGGAACAATAAACTATTTTTTTTATAAAAAATATTGCAAACGTAATTATCCAACAGCACTGATTAAATTCACAACAGATTTAGTGCTTAAAAGCCACACAAGAATAGATACATAAATAAAAACCAGAGGGAAAGACCGATACAGGGATCTCGATAGAGAATTTCGAAGTTTTATTGTAACAAAATGAAGATCTAGGAAGGAAGGTTATAAATTTAGAAATATCATCCACTCGTCTATCATTAGCAAATCTAGCAAACAACAAACAGATGAAGATTGATTAAAAAGTGGAATTTTCTGGTGGTTGAGCAAGTCTCGAATTCTCGGATGCAGACATTTTTTTGCGGACATCCAATAGCACATGACGTATGCAATATCCACGAGTCCAATTAGATAGCGTTGCAAACATTCGAGGATCAACCTAAAAAATGAAATACCATTATAGAAGTGTGTTATGCTTTTAACAGACTTGTAATTAGAAGATAAGTACTAAGGATAAAACTAGAAGTTGTAATGTATCTTTGATTTTATGAAAGTAACTTTGTGTGTTCACCAAACATATCAATAAACTGATTGTTTATTAAAAATGATTTAAAAACTATAAGTGCTGTACGGAATGTAACGAGCTGCATGCAGAGTGATCAAACAGGAAAAAAATTATTAAGATTTTTTACGTTAACTGGAATACATTAACTGTCGTTTGATGAAATACTGATTTGCCTACTTGTTACAGCCAGAGAAGGAGAAAACTACCATTTGTTACTGTATATAACGTCTCGATGTGCGGAAAAGGGTAAGACCGCATATGAAGATTTACTCACCCATCAACAATAGATTCACCACAACTTCAACAACGGATTCAAAAGACATGTTAAAATTGAAATAAATTGAATACGATTAATTTTTCTAGTCAACAGGGACATTTATATATACTGAACTGGACGGTGGTTGGCACTAAATAAGCCGTAACTAAATAGAAGTAAACAACTTACATTTAAATGTATTCACTAACAGTACAATAAATTGTTGGGCTGCATATTTATTTTCTCCGATATCAATAAAAAATTGCTACAAGGTAATTGGAAACTAACATTGTGGTTCGCAAGCACTGTTACAACTTAATTTGCAACTTCATCTGGGAAAAAAGTTATTCTGCAAAGTAGATGAATGTGGTGGTGTTTCGGTTTATGAAGTGGATGTTTTGATTGTGGAGCTTTGATTGCTCTACTGAACAACGTCATCAGCACAAACTTCAGATAGAAGTGAAGCATTCGAATTTCTCCACGTTTAACCTGTAGCTTGTTCTGCTAACCTCGATCTTGATTGGTTGCTGTTGACTTTAAGTCTGTCGTCGTTTGCATCTTTGTTTTGATTGTATCCCCCTTTTTATCTGTTTCTTCATCCTATGTCACCTATGATTTTTCTGACTGGTTAATAAATTAGGTCAATGTCGATGTGTTTGTTGATTGACCTGAGTGCCAAGCTTCTAAAAATTCTCTAGAGTTCTTTGTACTCCTCCTACCCAGTATTTCCAAATTGTTCCAATCGAAAGTATGTCAATAATTGTCCGCGAGTATTGATATAAGCGAAGAATTGTCGTGGCGTTTGACTGCTAATTGGTGTTCACGTAAACGAAGCTGAAGAGGCCGTCCAGTTTGTCCTATGTAGTGTTTTCCACAGTCTGAGCAATTTATTTTGTAGATGATATTTAGTTTTTCTTTCTTTCTCATTTTGTCCGTTGATCTATATAGGATTGATTGAAGTGATTCTGTTGGTTTGTGTGCCACACCCATTCCAAATGGTTTCAGTAGTAGTGCCGTATGCTATGATATGGCTTTTATGTATGGTAGGATAATCCGTTTATTGGTTCCTGTACTTGATTTCGCTTCTGATCACGATTTCGGTTGATGTTTTTTGATGAAGTTGCGTGGATAGCCGTTCTTTTGGAAGACAGTCATAAGATATTTTTCCATGTTTTTTAGTGCTTCATATGTGCTGCAGTGTGTCTTCGCTCTCTTGAACAAAGTTAGCCATTAATATTATATATATACATATATATATTACTCCGTCTAACATTAGTATATTTACTGAACCACTTCTAAAACGGTAAGCACAATGCACTGAGTTATGTAGTAACCGGGGATGATAACCACACGCCCAAACCAAATCAGCTAACGGAAATTTACAACCTTATTTAAAAATTTGATAAGTTTACATATTACTAAGTCAGATGTCAGCATTAGCCATTAATTAAACCAAATAAAAACAAGTAATTTTGTGAAAATAGTTGACACAGAAAATAAGATTTTTTTAACTTTAAGTTAAGCCACTCTTAGGTGACTGCTGGTCCCAAGCCTAAAAAAGGAGGGTTGGGAACGCGGTTGGCTACACCATCCCGTAAAAAACTAACTCGCTAACAAAACAATAACCAGAAGAAATCATTAAACCATTTAAACTCAGTCCTGAGAGTTAGATTTTCATTTTAAAGAATTATGACGTCTTATGATGAATGCCAAATTCTATCGGAAGTCACGACCAAGTCTGAAACCAGCCTCGTTTTCTCGAGTCTGCTATTCAGCAGCTCTAGTCAAGCGTCCAAGTATTATCGAGGCTAATATTTTAGACACTAAAACAAATAAACTGATCCCTCTGTGATTCTCAAAAGAGAACATTTCTCCTTACATACAGACTGCGTTATTCAGAAATTGTAGTAAGTTAAGTGGGATTACGTCAAATCACTAGGTTCCACTTTATATCTCAGTCAATATAAATGCTAAAACTGGACTACTATCCTTAAAAATCTCAGGAGTTAGCCTGTTGGGGCCAGCTGCCTCCGCTCCTCAACGTGTTCACAACCAGAGGGGTTAGTTTCCGAGCATCTATCAGATCGGTAGTCGCCATTGAAATTCATTGCTCTTCATTAACATTTTTAGTTTATCTTACTGATAGATATCACTTCTGTTCCCAAGCTGCCTCAGGGTGGGCATCACTTACATGGCAGCCTAACTGTTTTTCTAGTTCCCGAAATATATTCTTAGCTTTTCCATTGTTAAGTTGACCTCCAAGGAGTTTTCCTCGCTACATCTTTCTTACGTGCGATAAGCTTCAAAGTAATAGGCGCTCGTGCTAGAGCATGATCTGAATCTAGACGTGTGCTAGAAATGTGGTCTAGTTGGGTCGGTTTTGGGGGCACCAAGTCAGAAAACGTTCTTCCTTGTGCTTAAAGTTAATATTTGCTAGAATTAGGCGATTACCCCGGTATAGCTGGAGCAAACGGTCGCCATTATCTGATCTCTGAGACGCGACACCATAAGATTTACCTAGGTGTTTTCCCTTTTCACTTAGTTTATCTACTTGAGCATTCAAGTTACCCGCCATTATTACTATATCAGAGCACCTAACTTTTTGGAAGAGGTCCGAAAGCTTTCTTTAAAATTCATCTTTCACCTTAGCTGAACTGCAGTCAGTGGGAGCGTAAGCAGGTACGACGAAGAGGCGACGGCGAGTGTCTGTATCTTTCCGATTCTTTACTGTCCCAATTAGTCGGATAGCTCACAGTGACTTTCTACTGGAATACAGTCTAAGATAGTTAGTTCTGCTTTATAACTCGATGCTGTACCAACGCTACTAAAGCCGCGAGAAACAGCAGTGAGGCCTTCAGGTACATGAAGCGTAAATCACGACCGTCCCTGAAGTTGTAAAGGTGAGGTCAAGTGAATGACTGTACTCGTAACTCGTAAGCGCGTTTCGGAGACGCAGCATACATCGATGGAGCCAGATTCTAAAGTCATAACTAAGGAAACCTGTTGTCCTATTTGGTATCAGGTTCGATTATTAAATGCTGCAATATATAGTTTGGAACGGAAATTCAAGAGACCAGAAATTACATTTCGCGTACCCGAATCGTTTGCATCAGCTGTGCAAGTTGACGAACGATAGAAAGAAGGATTGGTCGTGGAGATGAGAGAGTTATTGGGAGGTGTAGGGAAGACTTGAATGTGACCGATTCGGTCTCGTGTGCTGTTACGGGTATGAGGGAGCTTATCACTTCCCGGTTGCCCACACCGCAGAAGACGGACTTTAAAAGATTTTCGATGAGGTAAACATATTCACCATACTAATGACTGCGAAATTCGACGGAATCTTAATGAATATCTTGTGTTTGCACTGAATATTATGGTCAAAACTGACGAGTTTCGCAAAATAAGTGAATTGGTCATTGGAATCAACTACGGCATGCCCACAACCTGATCGGATATAAAAAAAGTTAATGTTGAAGTAGTGATTTGCATTTGATAGATGATAAATGCATTCCAAACAAGCATGCAATATATCAGATGGAATACCACCTACTCTATGTACATCAAACAAAATGTGGATAAGCAAGTGTTAATAACTTAAGCGGTTAATCCTTGTAGTTATGGCTTTGTCAATTATTCTACAAGTTTTAGATCGGTTTGTCCTGATGACTATGACTGCGATTGATTATTCTCGTAACAATACTTTGTATTATATTTATCATCATTTAAAAATTTGAAACTAACAAATTATCGACTATTATGAGCTGGTGATATGACTTTTTAAAGCTGATATATTGTTTCGGATAGATATTAGAGAATTTATTGAATAACACAACAGATACTTTTAAAATCATGATCATTTCAGTCTAAAAATTTAATAAAACGACTGACAGATTACTAAGAGGAATTTTAGTGATCCAAACGTGTTGGCAACTTGACTAAGAACGTAGTGTTATAGTTTTCTAGAATTTGGATATCAAATCGATAAAAGTCAAAATTCTGTCATTCAGGGTTATACGACTGTACTAAAATCAATGTTCTAGGAACAAAATGGTATTCATAACGGCTCAATTAATATCGGAGATACGGGAGCTAGATATTAGGTTTTCAAGGAACCCCGATATGTGACTAGGAATAGTCTTCAATATAATTGATATTTTTATTTAAGCAACAAAAAACTTACCTCACCAGTATTCTCATTCACTCCATGCATACGTATTTTAGTGACAAACCTAGATGAAAATAAAACGACAATGATTTTTGTAACATGCATAATAAAATTTACCTGAAAATAAACTAAAATATGGTACATGAGCTGCCGACTAGACGGGGTGATGACCCAACAGTTATATCGGCTGGAACAACTAGTCCTTAAGGTTCTACCATGCCAGGTAGGTTGATTAGAGGACGGTAAGACCAAAAGCAGCAACTGAAGGTCTGAGGGCGAAGTCGTACTGCTGATTGTCAAGGAATGTGACAGCAGTAAGATGCTTCCCTCAGACAACAAGCGTCTGCACCGATCCTGCTTTCTCACAAAGAAAAGAATGGGTTGGAAAAGGTCATTCAGTCAATTACAACGTAGAACTTCGCACGTGAGTACATAAGTTCGGGTTGCAATACCGTATTAGCACATAGACGGAACTAACAGTTAAAATCACATGGTGGTAGCGATAGTAGAAGCACTAGGAGTAATGGAGATTTGACTTCGAAGTATAACTCGAGAAGTAAAATTCAGTGAGATAACTTAAGAAAGAATAAATAAAGATGATGAGAAATTCAAGTTAGAATTTGAGAGAACACAAAGAATAAATGCACCGACGCCATTGCAAACGATTTTGAGCCATGTCATTCAAGGTCTCTAACCATCGGTTACTTTCGTCTCGAGGACCCCAACTAGCACACCCGAGAGAGCAACACTGTTATTAGGAATCGGGTGCTAGGTAAGAATGTCAGATCAATAGATGAAGTAATGAAACTTCATCAGCTGAGGTGGTTGGGACATGTGCTGTGTATGCCTAACCACAGACTGCCCCGACGAGCTTTGTTTTGTAGTGTAGTAGAATGTTGGAAGAAAGCTAGGGGCGGCCAGACCAAAACATGGCAGAAATCCATTAGGTCATTGACGAGTAGACTTAGCCATGTCGGTAGTTGTCGACTTCACACTCAGAGCCAGGTGGGATGAGCTTACGAGATTTATCAGCTCAGTAGATGCTACTGAGATCAACGGCTTCTTCCTAGCCTTATGGTTTACCTTACTAGCAGATATCACTGCTGTTTCCACAGCCTTGTTGATATCGTTCCAACCTGCCTCCGGATAGGAATCACTAACATGACCGCTTAACTGTTTTTCTAGTTGATCCTGGAATATATTCTTAGCCTTATTATCATCAAGTAAAACCCTAAGAGGCTTCCTCACGGTGTCTTTCCTACCTCCAGTAAGCCTCAAACAAATACGCGCTCCTACTAGAGCATGATCTGAGAAACAGGTGGTTATTTTAGCGTGGTTGCAGCAGACGGTCGCCATTATCTGATCTCTGAGACGCGACACCATAAGATTTACCTAGGTGTTTTCCCTTTTCACTTAGTTTATCTACTTGAGCATTCAAGTTACCCGCCATTATTACTATATCAGAGCACCTAACTTTTTGGAAGAGGTCCGAAAGCTTTCTTTAAAATTCATCTTTCACCTTAGCTGAACTGCAGTCAGTGGGAGCGGTCTACACGCTCGACTACTTCACTCCCTATGACTCCCGACCGAAGCTGCTACCTTGACGTGGTGGTCGGGCATGCCTAGCGTGATGACCCAACCGAGCTATACTGGCTGGAACACATGTTCCTGCAGGTCCTACCATGTCAGGCAGGTCGATTGGAGAACGATGAGACTAAAAGCAGCTAACCAAGGTCTGAGGGCGAAGTCGTACTGCTGACTGCAGAGGGGTGTGACAGCAGTAAGGTGTTTCCATCGGACAACCAGCATCTGCAGCGATGCTGCCTTCTCACAAGGAAGGAAGGGTTAGAAAAGGTCGGCCCTAAAAATGTCACACCTCCCCTAACTCACGGATTTCCGTCTCCCTGGGTAAGGGTGCACACTAAGGGCCTTTAAGAACGGAGCTAATCCTCTAAATACCTTTCATAAAAAGGCCGTGCGTGACCGGCATCAAGCAGTTGTCCCTTGGGCTCTGCGGTCACGCACCAACACTAATCCATCTTCCTTTTCAGGTCCCTCAAGAAACAACCTTACACGGTGTGGGCAGCCGGGAAGTGACAACCGCCCTCATACCCGTAACAGCACGCGAGACGAAATTGGTCAAAATCAAATCCTTCCTACACCCCCTAATGTCTCTCTTATCTCTACGACTCCCTATCACTAGTTCAGGTGCCGATGCAACCCAATCTTGAAGCAACATTTTGCATTTCGAGGGGGAAAACAGCATCCCGAAAATGCTTGCATTGTTGCTTAGCGTAGTCAGAAGACTCTTCACTTTGTCAGCGTCTTCACCAAGTAGGACTATGTCATCGGCATATTCTAAGTCAATAAGCGAGCCACCTGGTAGAAGGTCTACTCCTGGAAATTCAGACGAGGATACGGTTATTTCTAGGAGCATTTCTCTGATAAAATTAAACAAGAATGGAGTGGACATCCTTGACTGACACCACTTGATGTAGAGAATTCCGGTGACAGTTCGCCATAACCTCTCACTCGACCAGTGGTATTCGAGTAGAGAGCTTGCATGAGGTTAATGTACTTCTGTGGTACACCTTTCAATGATAGACACTGCCACAGAACCTCACGATCCACTGAGTCAAGTGCCGCCTTATGTTCTAGGAACACAACTATTGTGGGACGCCTACATGTGTCTGTGTTTCAGGACCTGTCGTAGTGTGAAAATGTGGTCTATACAACCACGTCCAGGTCGAAAACCAGCCTGGTTTTTTCTAGACTTCTCTTCATGAGCTTTCGTTAGGCGTCGAAGTATTGTTGAGGCCAATATTTTAGAAACTATATAAGTTAGACTTATTCCCTTGTAATCGTCGTCCTTTCTTATAAATTGGGACAATCAGTGATTGAGACCAGTCGGATAAGATTATGTCCAGTCCCAATATTCTACCTAAGATCTGGATCAACCTAGCTGCTAAAACTGGACTACCATCCTCAAATACCTCAGGGGTCAATCTATCAGAACCTGCAGCTCGCCCTCGCTTTAGATTTTCTATCGCTTTCTCAACTTCATAAAGACTAGGTGGGAGTTACGTCGGTTTACCATTAAGGATGACTGGAGATCATGGGTAACCGAAGAGTGGCTCGAGGCCAGTTAAACTGGTCCCTAAAGTGTTCTGCCAATCGGTCCAGTCTCCTGAATTGAGAATAAATAATAGTCCCGTCATTTTCCGAGATAGTCTCACACTAGGATTCCTAATACCAGTTTCCTTTATAAGTCTGAAAAGTTGTCTACTGTTGCCGATCGCCGCTGCCTTTTCCATCGCTTTTGCTTTCGCCACCCACCACTGTTTACGGTAGTTGCGTAGGCTTTTTATCAGCCTGCGCCTAAGCTGACTTCGTTCTTCATCATGTTCAGAGCCAGGTGGGATGAGTTTCCGGGCATCCATCAGATCGGTGGATGCTACTGAGATCCACGGCTTCATTCTAGCCTTATGGTTTACCTTACTAGCAGATATCACTGCTGTTTCCACAGCCTTTTTGATATCTTTCAAACCTGCCTCCGGATAGGAATAGCTTAAATGGTCGGCTAACTGTCTTTCTAGTTGTCCCTGAAACATATTCTTTGCCTTATTATCATTAGGTAAAACCATAAGAGGCTTTCTTACGGTATCTTTCCTACGCCCAGTAAGCCTCAAACAGATACGCGCTCGCAATAAAACATGATCTGAATCCAAACATGTGCCCCAGAACGAGCGACAGTCCTCTATCGAACCAATCCATCGGTGGCTGATGGCGATGTGATCAAGTTGGGTCCAACGTTGAGACGACTTCGGGGGTCGCCAGGTCAACAGATGCTTTTCCTTATGCCTAAGGTTAGTGTTTGCTAAGAATAGGCGGTTGTCTGAGCATACTTGCAACAGACGGTCACCATTGTCTGTTCTCTGAGCCGCGACACCATAACATCCACCTAGATGTCTTTCCTTTTCACCTAGTCTACCTACTTGAGCATTAAAGTCACCAGCCATTATTAATATATCAGAGCGCCTAGCATTTGGGAGGAGGTCCGAAAGCTTTCTGTAAAACTCATCTTTCACCTCGTCTGAACTGCATTCAGTGGGCGCATAGGCAGAGTCAGTCAGTTGCAACGTAGAACTACGTACGTATGTACATAAGTTCATGTTGCCATACCACATTAGCACAGAGACGCAAATGTCAAATCAAATCCCATAGTGATAAAGATAGTAGAGTTACTAATGGTAATGAAGAAGACTAGGGTTCGAAGATATTATTCAAGAAGTATAATTCAGTGAGATAAGGTTACGAAGGCAGATACGACGAAGAGGCAACAACTGACTATCTACTGTGATCCAGTCTAGGAGAGATTGTTCAGCTCTACGACTCAATGCTATGCCTACGCCAGCAAGACCCTGGGAAGCAGCATCAGGGCTTCCAGATACACGAAGAGTAAATCGACCTGCTTCTTTATTTTGACAAGGTGAAATCAGATTAATAATTTTACTAGGATCCTGTATGCGCGTTTCCGAGACGCAGCACACATCGATGGCACGAGATTCTAAAGTCCTAGCTAATGATGCCTGTTGCCCTATTTGACACAATGTCCGTACATTAAATGCTCCAACATGTAATCTAGAACGGGGTTTCAAGAGACCAGGGATGACGTTTCGTGAACTCGCATCGTTTGCATTAGCGGTGCAGTGAGGTAAGGGAATGTGAGTAGAGTTAGTTGTGGAGAAGAGAGAGGTATTAGGGGGTGTAGGAAGGATTTGATTTTGACCAATTCGGTCTCGAGTGCTGTTACGGGTATGAAGGCGGTTGTCACTTCCCGGCTGCCTACACCTTGGAAAGGTATTTCTTGAGGAACCTGAAAAGGAAGGGAGATTAGTGTTGGTATCAACGACCTGGGAGCGTGACCGCAGAGCCCAAGGGACAACTGCTTGATGCCGGTCACGCACAGCCTTTTTATGGGAAGTTATTAGTTCTGCTCTTCTTTAAAAAACCTTACCGCGGAGACGGAAATCCGTGAAGTGTGACTTTTTGGTGCCAACCTATTCTAACCCCTTCCTTCCTTGTGAGAAGGCAGCATTGCTGCAGATCCTGGTTGTTTGAAGGAAACTCCTTACTGCTGTCACATTCCTTTACAATCAACAGCATGACTTCGCCCTCAGAACTTGAGTAGCTGTTTTTAGTCTCATCGTTCTGCAATCGACCTGCCTGTCATGGTAGAACCTTCAGGAACATATGTTCAAGCCAATATAGTTCGTCTGGGTTATCAGGATAGGCAAGCCCGATCACCACATCAAGGTAACAGCTACGGTGGGGTGTGCCGTCGCAAGCCAATCTTGAAGCAACATTTCGCATTTCGACATGGAGAACCGCATCCCGAACATGCTTGCATTGTTGCTTAGGGTAGTTAGAAGACCCTGTATTGTCAGCGCCTTCACCATATAGAAATATGTCGTCGGCATTGACCTAGAAAAAGGTCAACTATTAAAATGTCACACCTAACCTTACCTCATGGAATTCTCTCTATATCGGTAAAGCCTCTCGAAGTGTGAAGTAACACCAGAAGGCATAGCGCAACCGGCCTCAAGCAATTGTCTCTTGGGTTCTGCGGTCACGCTCACGTGTCGCCCAGACGAACGCTAACCCAACTTCCCTTTCCCAAAAATGTTAACGAAGAGCAATCGATCTCAGTAGCGTCTACCGAACTGATAGATGCTCGGAAACTAACCCCTCTGGTTGTAAACACGTTGAGGAGCGCTGACAGCTTAAAAAGATGATGACAAATAGCTTATGCAGTGGTCGTGAACAGTGGTGGGTAGCGAAGGCAATGGAAAAGGCAGTGGTGCTAAGCAACAGTAGACAATTGTTCAGATTTATCAGGGAAACCGGTATTAGAAATCCGACTGTAAGTGAGAGTATCTCGGAAGTACAGTGACATTATGCAGGCTTTCTGCTTGAACACTACTGTTCGAGCCATAGCTCATGGCGAATGGTCATCAGAACTGATTACTTCAAATGGTGTTCCTCAGGGTTTCTGCTTTCTCCATTCTTGTTTAACTTTGTCCTTGACGTGCTTCTAGAGATAACACATCCATCATCTAACTTTTCAGGAGTCAACCTTCTGCCAGGAGACTTGCTTGTCGGCTTAGAGTATGCAGATGATGTTTGGTGAAGTCCATGACAAAATGCAGTCTTCTGATAACCCTAAACAACAATGCAGGCATGTTCAGGATGCAATTTTCCTCGTTGAAATGCGAAATTTTGCTTTGGCACTTGCTTCCGTCAGCACCTGGATGAGTGATAGGGAGTGAAGCAGTTGAACGTGTTGACCACTCGACTTATCTTGGGAGTTTCATCAGTGCTGATGGTCTAGTGCCTGACAAAATCCCGGCTTTTGTCAACTTGTGCCACTTATGGCGTAGGCGAGATATCCATCTACTAACCAAAGGACCAGTTTACTACTTTGCAGTCCTCTGCGTCCTACTATACGGGTGTGAAACATGACCACCAAGAATAGAGGATTTTCGTGGGTCCCTAGTATTCGATCATAGGTGTTTTAGAAGCACTACCCGTATATCCTGGGACCATCGAATAAACAATGATCGGGTTTTCAAAGGGGAACTAGGTAAGGATGACAAATCAGCTGATGAAGTAGTGAATATCCATCAGTTTGGATAGCTAGGAAATGTGTTACGTATCCCGACACGAGCATAACCTTAGTTTTAATTACATTCCATAAACACTTTGAGGCTTATTTCAGCATGGTAATAAGACACACAGACAGATACAACACAGAACTTCGTACGTATGTACATCAGTTCAGGTTGCCATACCGCATTAGCACAGAGACGCAACCGTCAGTTCAAATCCAATAGTGGTAGCAATAGTAGAAATATTAGCAGTAATGGAGAAGATTAGGGTATAATTCAGTGAGACAAAGTTAGAGAAAGATAGAGATGATGAGGAATCCACGTTAGATGCTACATATTCGTAAAAGAAATCACTACAATGGCAGTCAATGTCAGCTCACCTAACCGTTGGAGGAATATCTGGATACTTTGGTCCACATTCGATCCGCAAATCATATATACGGTTTTCAAAGGGAGTTCGAGTAGGACCTAGGATCATTCCATTCCATTTAGTAAGTGTTGCGTCACCCATATTTTCCAACCCCCAACTAATACTCCCTTCCTGAGATCCCTTTTGTCCTTGCTCAAGTTCATCAAGAAGATAAAAATTCCGAGGAACACAAACTAAATCCAAACAATTACATAGGAATCATAACTAACATTAAGAATGAATCAAATTTACAAAAGGATCGATATGAAAACAAACTATAAAACACGAAAATGACCAAAACAAATGTAGTCAGAACGAACATCAATAGGAATAGAAAGTCAGTAGATAATACTGATGCACAATATTTTACGAAACTTACATTATCGAGAATTATTATAACCCAATGAGTACAAAAACTAAGTCATAGACGAACAGTTATTGAAAGATATTTCACAAAACTTATTGCTCACTAATTTTTACTTCAAAACATTTTCTAAATTATACGTAAAACAATAATCATGAGCTTTTTTTAGATTTCTATACCGCTACTTACTTGTCTGTATTATAGATCATATCGATTTAACTGAAGGCCTCTACTAAGCGTCTAAGTTCATCACAAATATTTAAAATCTAGACACTAATGACTGTTGTAAAAAAGGACGGAACTTGAGTCGATTTTCAGACTAAGAAAATGACGACAGTAGAAATAATGAGGAACAGGTTAACTAGCATTAATCTTTTCCCCAGTTACTCAATATCTCTCATTCCTTCTTCGTGAAGACGCTTTGTCGACTCGGTTGATGAAGCCGTCAGCTATCGAATAGGGTGGCTGTGAAATACATATCCGTCACCTGCTTTGCTGCGCTTAGCTGGATGGTACAGAACTATTAAAAAGAGACCAAACAAGACATAGCATGCTATCACTGACTGACGGTTCGAACTACGTAGAGGAACTAATTTTTGGTGGTTTAAATGATGATTGTGGTTGATGGTTGAAAAGATTAGATGTTGTTCAAAGTTGCTCACAAAAGCGTTCATTTTTGACCTTTACTTATTCTATTCATTTCACTCATACAATTTGGGTATCATTTACTATTTACCATTGGCTTGAGCTAGCACACACTCAGACTGTACGTAGTTAGTGAATGATTGGTCCTCTGGCACGTTAACTTTAAAAGGGTTTAACAACTGTATTTAATACAACTATCACCGTCTTTTTTACATGTGAGTATGGTGCAACAGTCGATGATACTGTGCCCAAAATAGCTTTGGCCGTAGTTGTGGTCGGGCTTCCCTGTTGTGATGACCCAACAGATATATCGGCTGGAACAACTAGTCCTTAAGGTTCTACCATGCCAGGTAGGTTGATTAGAGGACGGTAAGACCAAAAGCAGCAACTGAAGGTCTGAGGGCGAAGTCGTACTGCTGATTGTCAAGGAATGTGACAGCAGTAAGATGCTCCTCTCAGACAACAAGCATCTGCACCGATCCTGCTTTCTCACAAAGAAAGGAATGGGTTAGAAAAGGTCAACCATAAAAATGTCACACCTCACCTTACCCCACTGATTTCCGTCTCCGATGGTCTGTGCATTATTATCATTATACTTTAGATATATGTGATTATTAGGTGTAAATAAGAAAATTAGAAAGTAGATGGCTGGGACTAACCAACAATTCCGAAACTGAGCATTGTTGTGTTTAATTACAAAATAGGGTGAAACTCTACAAACCATATCCATAAAATGCATCTTCAGGGAAGTAAAAAGCTTTCATTTGGATGTAAAAGAAGTGCATAGAGTGTACTGACAGCAAATGGATGTCGGTGTTCTTTTTGAAGAAACATAAGGAATTCCATTAAGATTTAGTTTTAGACCATTACATCAAACAAATATATTCAAATAGAGATTCGAAAACATATTGGAAGTGTTTTTATTGTCAGACGTTAAGAAACAGGAAATACGAATGACCATCAGGACTTAAGAAAAAATTCCAAAAATTTCTTTGAACTAAATCGCTCAAGGTATGGAATGTGTCGAAGAACCAACGCCACGTTGACTTCCTGTCCAGAGAAATACTGGAATACATTTAGTAATTTCTTAGACATCGTACGTTATCACAAGATTACATATCTTTTGTTCTAAAAATGGTCGTAACAGTACATATGCTTGGATAAAACTTCTATTCTTTACAAAACGATGACTAGCTAACATAAACATGGATTTCGAATAGGATTATACTGCAAATCATCAATATAATGAAGGAAACGAGCGTAAATGTTGAATTCTTCCATCAACTTATTCTACTGGGAAAGTCAAACTCATATTGCTTACACAATGGGAAAAATACACTTTCCAACACATTTTTAAAGACGTGTGTACATTATAAACAATGTCCGATAGGAAACGGCAGGATTTAATATAGAAAAAAATGGTTAAATAGCTTTGTCTAATTGAATTAGTGTAGTGGGACGATTTATGAGTACTGTTCTTTTAAAGTCCGACTTTGCAAGCCCAGAGGGAGCTTCTGGTTCAGTAGTGCAGGACGTATCTAAACACTGAGCCTAATATTGACTAGACCCAAAAATTGACTTATTAACTCCTTAGTATTAAAAACAGAAATACTGAACATTCATTTCCACGACTAGTAGCGTCAACTCGCGTTCTGAGTTTAAAGGACATATGTATGCTGCGTTAGTAATTAAATGACAATAAACTCATTCTTTTTATATAAAGAGGATTATCTGAGTTCACTTAGTTCCATAAAACCATAGAGCGGACCTTTCTCGCCTTTCGTCTCGTTATTTGGCGCTGCCATTCTATGCACCGCTGTTCCAATTTCCAATATCCTTTTCACGAGCAAGTATAAACCAGTTGATTTCTTTACGCTTGATTCTTATCCTTTCGGTACAGATCCAGGTGTTTGGTAGTTTCTGATGGATGGGAGTCTAGCCACTTGACTGCACCAGTTCTAGTCAGTTGGCAGTTGTTTATGAGTTTGGAAGTCCCCTGCTTTGAATGAGTACGTTTGTTTCAGGACAGTTGGGTTTCTCGATTCCAGTAGCTATCACGTTACTAGGCCGGAGATCAGTTAGCAATAACAAGGATAAAATTCTAATGCTAATAAGATTTCAGAACTGAGTAAATAAATGGATAATGTAGTTTACTAAATGGTAGTGATTATTTGAGAGGACCGAGGTGTAAACAAGGAAGAGGAAACTGAGATAATAGGCGAGATAGATTAAGTTAGCGATCGGAGGAAATGCGTTTTACACTTTTTATTCCACAGTATGTGTGATAATTACCCCTTGCTGGTTGAGTAATTCGCTCTGGTTTAGTAAGAAAATTGTAAGTTTTGTCTGAACGTGTCACTGGTGATTGTTGAAAATAAAATGTGAGCCCTCCGATATCAGAATGGACTGAACTTCGAGATTATCCACCTAAAACTGGATATCCGAAAAATATAACATTTATGGTGATTTGTTATCTTCATTAACAAAGTATGTCATTCCTTAAACGATTGACCACTCTAAGTTTTTAAGTGAAAGTTATAAGTTGTGTAGCAAACCATCCTTCAAAAGAAAATTTCTTTATCCACTAAAACTTTAATGAGGACATGTTAAAATTTTTACTTGTTCGTTATTAGTCTATCTCCGAGCTCGTCTGTGTCGAACACAGTTTTTTTAGCTTAGTTAGGTTGCGTCTTATCACCTCAACATGCCAGTAGATTTGTGTGATTAAGTTAATCCCCTGATAGTTTGCCATCAGCTTTTATGGCAACTTGATAGATTCATCTTCGAGCCAACAACTTCAGTCACATGAGAATTTACTATACAGAATTCTGAAACCAAAGGGCAGAGGGTAATTTCAGAGGTCTTCTCGAGGCAATGAAGTGACCCAATGTATAATCATGATACTAAACGTTCATAATCTTACCTTCTCTTTATTAACAGCTTATCTTTCGGAACATATTTTGATAGTTTCAACTGCAGGGCCGGTAAACAGTTATTGTCTAAGTAACTTGTGTGACCATTTAAGCTTGTTTAACTGAATATGTATGCTCATTTGTTTCTGAAATCATACCCACTGTAATATTAGGAACCTTCTATAGGTGACAGTCAGTCTGAAATAACATGAACGTTCAAGTGCATTTTGGTGGAACTAGTTGTCGCACTTCTCCAAATGTTTCTCAGAGTACATTTCTACCGTCTAATCAATGTATCAGTGGAAGTATATGTGGATTTATCATAACACGTCAATAAGTTGATTACGATAACATCGTCAGCAGTAGTACTGAATGCACACTGAAGTAATTATCTGAGAATCATTTAACACTGGAGAAGTGTCCGAGGAATAATCTATGAGTTCTCTGACCTTAGGATTCGGCATTCTACTCAAATATAAAGATTATGAAACAGAATGTGGCTGAGGTTTTGGTAGTGTCTTGTGGTTGTAATCAGTCGCTCAAATGAATAAGTTAGAGTGAATTTCTTAGTTGACTGAGCATGTGATAATTCCATTCAAATGCATTTTTCCATATGTAGTGAGGTCACTGGAACCGGAAGCTATAGCGTTACCAGTCAATGTCCTGGTTGATTGCAAAAGTAAAATTTTTAAAGTTTCGGAAAAATGGAGAGGTTTCATGTACCCGAGAGTAATTAAATACTCGGTTAACCAAATGACTGTGCAAAAACTACGAGTAAATGAAGGATACAAGGAGTAGAGTGAGCATATAGGTTACAAAACAATGTTAACTCTTAGGTTCTAAGTCATGGAGAGTAGAGGGCTAGTGCACACAGAAGCACTTCTCTAAGAATTTATGTAGTCAACCTAAAAATCAAGTGAAGATAATAACTCAATAGTAAATACCTAGAAAATAATTTAAATGATTCTGAAATTTTTTGTGATTGTTCACTTATGGTTAGACTGTTCAGTTCTGGAACAAACCAATAGTTACACCCTTATCGTGAATTGCTAGGATCGCCTGTTCTGCTGGAAATCGACTGCGCTTGGTGTCGTAGTGAGTGATTTGTTGAAACAAATACTGATCAGATAAATTCTACCAATTTTATAGTTAGACCTGTTTAGTAATAACACTGTACCCTATTTTCTACACTCTTCTACATTATTAAGAAAAATTTATTGCCATCAGTTGCCTTTAGGAAAACCCTTACTAGGAGGTGACCTTTTGGAAATTTCTTGTATGCAGATATACCGGCGTTGTCAAAAATCTAGATTAAATGTCGACATTAATTGTGACAGTGTTTTGTTTTCCGAGCTAGGTTTTTCGGAGCCTTGATTGTTCTTCTGAACAACATCAGCTCGAAATTCAGATCAAAAGCTCCACAACCAAAAAATCCAGCACATAGAACGAAACACTACCACAATCATCCACCTGAGCCGAGGATATTCTCGACCACCTTGAAAACATTAGTATTTGTACCGCTGTATGACATCAGAAATTCCTGATTCTGCTGAAAGATGTGGGTGCACTGTCGCTGATATGATATTTGATAATATTATTGGATTTGCTCTGTGTTTCTCGGAATTTTTATCTTCTTGATGAACTTGAGCAAGGACAAAAGGGATCTCAGGAAGGGAGTATTAGTTGGGGGTTGGAAAATATGGGTGACGCAACACTTACTAAATGGAATGGAATGATCCTAGGTCCTACTCGAACTCCCTTTGAAAACCGTATATATGATTTGCGGATCGAATGTGGACCAAAGTATCCAGATATTCCTCCAACGGTTAGGTGAGCTGACATTGACTGCCATTGTAGTGATTTCTTTTACGAATATGTAGCATCTAACGTGGATTCCTCATCATCTCTATCTTTCTCTAACTTTGTCTCACTGAATTATACCCTAATCTTCTCCATTACTGCTAATATTTCTACTATTGCTACCACTATTGGATTTGAACTGACGGTTGCGTCTCTGTGCTAATGCGGTATGGCAACCTGAACTGATGTACATACGTACGAAGTTCTGTGTTGTATCTGTCTGTGTGTCTTATTACCATGCTGAAATAAGCCTCAAAGTGTTTATGGAATGTAATTAAAACTAAGGTTATGCTCGTGTCGGGATACGTAACACATTTCCTAGCTATCCAAACTGATGGATATTCACTACTTCATCAGCTGATTTGTCATCCTTACCTAGTTCCCCTTTGAAAACCCGATCATTGTTTATTCGATGGTCCCAGGATATACGGGTAGTGCTTCTAAAACACCTATGATCGAATACTAGGGACCCACGAAAATCCTCTATTCTTGGTGGTCATGTTTCACACCCGTATAGTAGGACGCAGAGGACTGCAAAGTAGTAAACTGGTCCTTTGGTTAGTAGATGGATATCTCGCCTACGCCATAAGTGGCACAAGTTGACAAAAGCCGGGATTTTGTCAGGCACTAGACCATCAGCACTGATGAAACTCCCAAGATAAGTCGAGTGGTCAACACGTTCAACTGCTTCACTCCCTATCACTCATCCAGGTGCTGACGGAAGCAAGTGCCAAAGCAAAATTTCGCATTTCAACGAGGAAAATTGCATCCTGAACATGCCTGCATTGTTGTTTAGGGTTATCAGAAGACTGCATTTTGTCATGGACTTCACCAAACATCATCTGCATACTCTAAGCCGACAAGCAAGTCTCCTGGCAGAAGGTTGACTCCTGAAAAGTTAGATGATGGATGTGTTATCTCTAGAAGCACGTCAAGGACAAAGTTAAACAAGAATGGAGAAAGCAGAAACCCTGAGGAACACCATTTGAAGTAATCAGTTCTGATGACCATTCGCCATGAGCTATGGCTCGAACAGTAGTGTTCAAGCAGAAAGCCTGCATAATGTCACTGTACTTCCGAGATACTCTCACTTACAGTCGGATTTCTAATACCGGTTTCCCTGATAAATCTGAACAATTGTCTACTGTTGCTTAGCACCACTGCCTTTTCCATTGCCTTCGCTACCCACCACTGTTCACGACCACTGCATAAGCTATTTGTCATCATCTTTTTAAGCTGTCAGCGCTCCTCAACGTGTTTACAACCAGAGGGGTTAGTTTCCGAGCATCTATCAGTTCGGTAGACGCTACTGAGATCGATTGCTCTTCGTTAACATTTTTGGGAAAGGGAAGTTGGGTTAGCGTTCGTCTGGGCGACACGTGAGCGTGACCGCAGAACCCAAGAGACAATTGCTTGAGGCCGGTTGCGCTATGCCTTCTGGTGTTACTTCACACTTCGAGAGGCTTTACCGATATAGAGAGAATTCCATGAGGTAAGGTTAGGTGTGACATTTTAATAGTTGACCTTTTTCTAGGTCAATGCCGACGACATATTTCTATATGGTGAAGGCGCTGACAATACAGGGTCTTCTAACTAGCCTAAGCAACAATGCAAGCATGTTCGGGATGCGGTTCTCCATGTCGAAATGCGAAATGTTGCTTCAAGATTGGCTTGCGACGGCACACCCCACCGTAGCTGTTACCTTGATGTGGTGATCGGGCTTGCCTATCCTGATAACCCAGACGAACTATGTTGGCTTGAACATATGTTCCTGAAGGTTCTACCATGACAGGCAGGTCGATTGCAGAACGATGAGACTAAAAACAGCTACTCAAGTTCTGAGGGCGAAGTCATGCTGTTGATTGTAAAGGAATGTGACAGCAGTAAGGTGTTTCCTTCAAACAACCAGGATCTGCAGCAATGCTGCCTTCTCACAAGGAAGGAAGGGGTTAGAATAGGTTGGCACCAAAAAGTCACACTTCACGGATTTCCGTCTCCGCGGTAAGGTTTTTTAAAGAAGAGCAGAACTAATA